CTGAAGATGTCTTTTACATCAGTTGCAGATTTTTCTGCATTCAATGATTGTGTTGCAAGTGAGGCCAAGTAGACTGACTCCCTAATGAACGGGGTAATGTTAAATTTGGGAGATTATCATTCTGATCCCCTATGCAAAACACCTTTGGTACAAAAATAATAACACGGACAGTTAGAAGTCTGTTTAAAAGACATATGCAGAAGGGAATATGAAATTTTACTGGGCTTTGAAAGGTAAATTATTGTTTATTTATGGGGGAAAATTAATTCTTTACACTGTAATGAAATGCAGGAAACTTCAACACAAATACCACTACAGTCTTTAAAGAAGGATCAAGTATGTGTGGAAAAAACTTACTGGAAAAAGCAAATTAATTTGGAAGACCTGATGCAGAAAAAGCATTTGGAAGCTTTTGAATTAGTATTTCCAAAGCACAGTGTTTCTCTGTACAGAAGGTAATTGGATATTGCAGTGTCTGATAGTTTTGATGACTTTCTTATCCTTTCAAGTAGGTTTACTAAGAGGGAGGTGGGGTACCAAGATTGATTTAGCTGATTGTATTGCTGGATTTTCTTGATGCCTCACAGTTTTCTTATTAGCATGGGACTGACAGAGATTGTTACCTAGCATATGACAGAGATAATACTTACTCAATAAAAACTACTTTTAAAGAAACTATATATAAAATTGGTTGAAACGCAGAATTGCATAGCCCCAGAGGAAAAGTAACGACACTGAACATTTCATAGATAATTTGGACTTGGATTCCTTTGTTCTGTCCCACTTCGCAAGAAGTATACGTGTTACATTAGCATCACAAATGCAGAATATGATCATGCATGCCATTAAGTACAAATTAAGTGTTTTTTATACACGTCATAGTGTGATTTAGTGACTTAGGGTAGTGTGGTATGTGTGGTTAACTTTCTTAGCCTCAATGAGGGTGAAATACTCAGAAGGGAGGAAGGATGGATTTGTGGTTTAAGTATGAAGTTGGAAAATAGGAGATCTGTTTCCGGTTTGATGAAAGATGATTCGATTTGTGGGAAAATAATTTTCTGTTCCTTAATTTCTGCTTATGTAAACGGGAGATTTACAAAAAGTATTGCCCGATTCCGCTGAATAGAGGACTTAATTCATTAATATTTGTATTGTGTTCTAAGACAGGAAGGAGAAAGTTTAATATTAAAAAAGTGGACTTGAAAGAAGTTACTCATTGAATGCCTCCCTCGAGGAAAAGTTAGCTGGCAGTAGATTGCCCTGAAAGCAGTATCTTTTACTGCTGTGATTACGTCCAATTCATAGCTACCTGTAACAATGAAGTTAAATTTTAAAGTTGTTTCTGTGTGATTTCTGTCATGTCTGCCATTTTCTATCATCTACCATATCTACCAGTATCTGTCAGCCTAACATATCTACCACTTGTATCTTTTCAGCTCTTTTTTCTTAATATTGCCTGTCCAGTCGATGCCAGGGAATATTCCAGAAACTGTTTTTGTTCTGTTGTTTTTTGCCCTCGGGAACGGTTATAGCCACAGAGTGTATTAGAAACCTGTATTTAGCCCTGCAGCTGAAGTTTTAAACACTGAGACCTCTGGGCACAGTCTACCCCAAGTGAAGTGAAAGTAAGTATCGTTCAAGAAGAACAGGTCCCACGCATACAAGAAAGGTTCATTTCACTGAAGAAAAGTACAAGTAAGCTTCATTTCATTAGAACTGGGTTTCCTGTTGTTTACATGCTTTTTTAGTTGATGTTACTTGTATTACCAGCTACATATATTGCTTATGACATTGGTTCTTTAATGGAGCTTAACACTGCACTGTATTTTGTTTTTGAAAAACACGAGTACTGTACTGAGCGGTATCTTGAACACATTCCTGCATGAGTTGTTTAACTGCACTGTGCCAGACGTCACTCTGTCACACTTGCCATCCCAGAAGCAGCAGTTGTCATCACTACCTTTACCCTCCCTGCAGCAGAATTAGCAAGCCCCACTCTTTAGAGCATTTCTTCACTCTCTGCTGCCTTATCGCCAAAATTCAGTTTTGTGTGTAGTCAGGTGTGCCTTTATCACTTACTGTGTAGAATACAGCAATAGAATACATACCTAGGGCTTCGTCCCCTGGGAAATTCTAGATAATTCAGAACCTAATGGGCTTTCTAGTGGCATGGGCAACTGCCAAGTATTTTAGACTCTTACTCTGCTCTCAACACAGAGTATCTTAACAAGTTTAGGGTCATGATTTTCATAGAAGGGTCTCAACCTGAGCTCAATATATCCATGAGACTGAAAGTCTGAGATGAGGATCATGGCTGATAGTGTGGCTGCTTTGGCACAAGGTACATAAAGATCTTCATGGGGGAATGGAAAAGAGTGAAATAAGCATGGTGGGAAGGATCACTCTGCTTGCATAAAATAAACAGCTTTTCAGGCATCATTTACCTTCCTATTTGCAATTGCTGCATGTGTTTTGACTTTTTCATTCACAAGGATACAGCATTCCTCTGTGTTTCTGCTTCACTGTTGCAATTTGCAGCTAAAAACCTGACTATCATGTTGCACTCAACCAGGTGTCTTATCCGTATCTTTGAAAAAGCTTTCTTGGACACTTGTTCTTTTGTCCGTGCTCCACTTCATTCTCTGCTTGGTAGCTGCGTATGTGCTAGTCATCCATCTGAGTGCTTGATGCACAGCTGCTGGACTTTTATTGCTAATGTCTTGCTGAACATCAGGTCAGCCCGCCCTATGGCTTCAACATTTGCCAGGCTTTCATACTGCTTCACTAAACATAAGGCACAAAAGTGCTTCTAGTAATACTTCCAACAACTTCTCCATCTCAGTCTTCTGTATATTACCTTGATGCCCACCCACACAGCAGTGGGGTATGGAAGACAGCTTTATACACCTTTAACTTGTCAAGAGATTTGGTTCTTTGCCAGCTCACTCAGTAATCCTTTGAGTGTCCTGGATATGAGAAACTACCTCATTAAGAAAACTCCACTGGCATTGATAAAGCATTGCCAAAATAAATGAATTCATAAATGACTCGATGTTCAGTCTCATTGATGGGTATGGAAGTGCAATACATGATCTTTCAGTGGCTGGTTAACTGTTTTTTCAGGCTGATGTTCCAAAACAAATTGTAAAGGCAGCAGAAGTTAACCAAGAGCAGACAGTCTTAATTGGAGTAGGCACCATGTCTGACGAGCACACTAGTATTAACATACAAGAGTGCCAAACAGGCTGCTGAGCAAATCTGAAATGCTGAGTGCAGTCTGGAGAGATTAAACGATCTTACTATCACTTGCGAGTATACATGCTTGAAAGGAGTAGCGTGAGCTTTAAAGTTGCTGTGTACATAAGTACCGCTATGCAGCGTTCATGAAAGGAATTGATTTTACGACATGTCCCTTTGGACATCAGAGGAGAAGTGTCAGGTTGCCCTAGACCTTAATTCACAGTGAAGTTCAAATGTTGCTTTTGGCACCTGTCCTGAACTTGGCTGCGATGTAATTTGTGGACACTTTTTTTCTACAAGGTGGAGAGATGCAGGCAGATGCTGTTACCAGAAAGAAATCCCTGTGGTTATCACAAATAGGATTTCTCCCCTTTTGCCCATAAAATCTTGACAGTGAATTCATTCTGTGTGGTCTGTTATCCCACATCACACATCCAAGTGGAAAAAAAAAAAGTGATCAATCAGTCAAGAGCTGGAAATCAGCTCTGTATTTCAGCAAGAATCTAACCTGAGCCAGATGCTCTCCTGTCTTTCCCAAATGCCGCTGTGTCGTTGTCTTCGCTGGCTATCGGCTTCTCATGCGAATGAAGGGAACCAGGTTTGGTCCTCGGTGCGGTTTTTATATCTATCTGAGTCCTCTAAGGGGGCTTGCTTGTTATCTAAGCATAGGTAACAAGCACCTTGCAGAATCATCACCTTGTAGCTTTTACAGTTGTGTTTTCTCTGTGAAAAGTGCTGGGTTGAGGCTGTGGACGGAAAGCTTAGTATGTGGAACGTATGGTCCTGAAAAGATGACAAAAAGAGGGGAAGGGGCGTTGGAGGGGGCTTTCTGCTGCAAACTTGAGCAGAAAGTGGTAAAACCACTCTGGGGAAGGGTGTAATTTTCGAAAGCTCACTGGCACAATTTGTATCTTGTGCAAGAAGTAGTTACCTTTGTGTAGTGTTTCTTGAATTATCTGTGAAGTGTTTTGAAGGTGGAAAATGCTCTGTACAGAACTACCAGCTCCAATTTAAAGCCTGAAATCGTATTTGGCATCCAAATGCTCCCTAAAGGGTTTGGCTTGGTGTTACAGCACAACCCAGATCATCTTTGTTTTCTGCTTCTAAGCTGTAGCCAGACCCTTGTAAGAACAGCTGATGAGCTTTAGCCTTGATTTAGGCGCAAATTAAAACCAATGCTGCAACCTAGTCCAAGTTGTTGGCCCCATCTGCCTGTAATCAGAGGGATCTCGCAGCAGCTCTGACCCTAAACTGGTGACAGGCTGTTATTAGAAGTGTCCCTCAGTAAGTCCTGAGAGCTGTAGTTCATAGAAACAAAACAGCTGTGTTTTAGCATGTTAATGTCGAGTGCAGACGCAGTCGTTGCTGTTGGTAGTGGTGCTAGGCTGTCATTACATGCTGCGCGGGTAATGTTTAAAATTGTCACTTTTTTCTTCTGGTCAAGGGCTGGGACACCTTGTGTCACACATGCCAACATCTGAGAGCTATTAATAGAGGAGTGTTTGAGGCAGAAGAAAACCACATACACCTTGTAATTCTCTTGAAAAGCTTTATTCTGGGAGAAGTTTGGTTGGCAAAAGAAGGCCAAATCTTAACATTCTTGGCTGTAGATGTGGACTTTGCTTGTGGAGAGGAGTGGGTGGTCGCCCTACTTCATGAAGTTCAAGCTAGAACAGCTTATAAAAGCTTAGTGTCTCCTTAGTGTCCTCAGACTGCCGTTTTTGCCTCGCTTGGCCCCTGTCAGAAGGAGCTGGGGGCTCGTTCCCACTAGCTCCTACACCAGGTGTAGCGGTGCGGCTGGCACACACCAAGGGGCCGGGCCCTGCCGGC